TCACGTGGTTTCCGTTGCGAGAATTCGCGAGGCCATAGCTCGGAATGACATCGAGGAGATGGGCGTTGTATTTTTGCATGCTCTCCCCTCGTCGGACGGACCAGCCGCGTCCCCGCCAGACCCATGCATCACGCATTTCTTGGACGAGTATGGAGACGTCTTTGAGGCTCCCACCGGAACGGTTCCGGATCGGCCCATACATCACGGGATCACTCTCGAGGCAGGCGTCGTCCCTCCGCGTGGATGTATCTACCGCATGAGCGAAGAGGAACTCGARGTGCTTCGCGCACAACTCGATGACCTTCTCGACAAGGGCTGGATTCGCCCTAGTTGCTCGCCATACGGTGCACCTGTTCTCTTCGTCCGAAAGAAGAACAAAGATCTACGATTATGCATCGATTATCGGAAACTTAACGCACATACCGTAAAGAACGCCGGCCCTCTCCCTGGGATTGATGATCTTCTTGAGCGGTTAGGTGGCGCGACGTACTTCTCGAAGTTGGACTTGAAGTCAGGTTACCACCAGATTGAAATCCAGCCTCAAGATCGGAACAAAACCGCGTTCAAGACACGGTACGGGCATTTTGAGTGGGTTGTAATGCCATTTGGCCTCACCAATGCCCCCGCAACTTTCCAAGCAGTGATGACGACGGAGTTCCGCGACTTGCTCGATCGTAGCGTCCTCATTTACCTCGATGACATCTTGGTTTACAGTAGGACGTTGGACGAGCACATCGTACACCTCCGCGTTGTTCTGGATCATTTGCGACGAGCCAAGTACAAAGCGAATCTCGACAATTGCGAGTTCGCCAAGCAAGAGCTTCAGTACTTAGGTCATTTTGTCACACCGAAAGGCATTCGTCCCTTACCGGACAAGATCCAAGCCATCGTGGATTGGHCGGAACCCCGTTGCACGACGGATGTACGCTCTTTCATGGGTTTGGCTGGATATTATCAGCGATTCGTCGAGTCATACTCGAAAGTGGTCGCTCCTTTGTCGAGACTCCAGTCCCCGAAGGTGCCCTTCGAGTTCGACGACGCAGCCCGTGGCGCGTTCACTACGTTGAAGGCAGCGATGCAAGCCGCGCCTGCCCTCCGTATATACGACCCCACCCTACCCACCCAAGTGACTACGGACGCTTCGGAATACGACATTGGTGCGGTGTTGGAACAGTGTCACGAGGACGGTTGGCATCCGGTCGAGTACTTCTCCCAAAAGGTTCCCCTCGTCAACACTCTAGACGACGCTAGGAAGAAAGAGCTACTCGCGTTCGTCACCGTTCTCAAACGGTGG